ATAGTATTGGCCCGTTGCGCTCACTTGGGGAGTGAATCATCGGACGGAAGATCTTCCTCTCTGTCTCTCCTCTCTGTATATCCGCCTTTCCAATGAAAAATAATAAAAATAAATCTTTAAAAAAATAAAATAAAAATTTACTTATTTTTAAAGATTTATTTATTTTTATTGCAAAGTCAGAGATATACAGAGAGGAGGAGAGACAGAGAGGAAGGTCTTCCATCCGATGATTCACTCCCCAAATGATGGCAACAACCAGTGCTGTGCCAATCTGAAGCCAGGAGCCAGGAACTTCTTTCCAGGTCTCCCACGCGGGTGCAGGGTCCCAAGGCTTTGGGCCATCCTCAAATGCTTTCCAGGCCACAGGCAGGGAGCTGGATGGGAAGCAGGACTGCCGGGATTAGAATAGAACTGGCACCCATATGGGATCCGGGCGTGCCCAAGGCGAGGACTTTAGCCCCTAGGCGACCATGCTGGACCCTGACTCTGATTTTTTAAGTTTCATAACCACAACTGGTAATTGCAGATGGCTCTTCCATAGATACCTCATTGCCTCAATTCTAACACACCTGTTTTTATGTTTTTACATATCTGGAATTTGCACGTGGCTTTGTTCCTGTGGTCCCCTTATCTGGAGAAGCTGTTTAGAATGTATCTTTGAATGAGATTGTGTCTTTAAATCCTGGAATTAATCTGTGATGGTGTTCCCTGTCAGTGTTGGAGTGAAAAAAATGTACTTTAAAATGCTTTAGGGCCCGGCAAGATGGGGTAGTGATTAAAGTCCTTGCCTTGCATTGTTTCACTTCATAATTTTTTTTTTATCAGTCCCTTTGGTGAACTCCAGTGTAATATATCAGATCCATAGCGCTCTTAATGTAACGCATCACAAATTCTTAGCTCTGGCATTACATTTTTGTTCTGTAATTAATTTGACTTGTTTTGCTTTTAAAAAAAAATGGCCAATTTAGGAAGGCCAAAATAATGGCTTAATTGGCTAATCCTTCCCTTTGTATCTGCTGGGATCCAATATGAGCACCAGTTCATGTTCTAGACGCTCTGCTTCCTAGCCAGTTCCCCACTTGTGGCTTGGGAAAGCAGTAGAGGATGGTCCAAAGCCTTGGGATCCTGCACCTGCGTGGGAGCCCCAGAAGAAGTTCCTGGCTCCTGGCTTCAGATCAGCTCAGCTCTGGCAGTTCAGCCATTTGAGGGGTGAAACAGCAGATGAGAGATCTTTCTCTGTCTCTCTTTTAAACTTCCTTTCCAATAAAAATAAACAAATCTTTAAAAATAATTACCAAATTAAGCACAAAGGGGCTTCAAAAAATTACGGAAAATAGAATTAGGACAAAGAGTGGCATTTGGTACAATATGCAGTCAGTACTTGCTTGTATCTGTATCCGTGTCAAGAGTATCTGATTCTAATCCTGGGTCCTCTGCTGCGAATCCAGCTTCCTGCTGATGTATGCACTGAAAGGCAACAGGTATGACTATAGCCTCTGCCAGCCGTGTGGGAAGCCTGAACTGAGTTCTGGGCTTCCAGCTGTTGTGGACATTAGGAAGTGAACCAGTGATGAAAGATGCCTCTCTACCTGTCTACCTTTCAAATAAAATGAAAATGAGTTAAAATCAGTTGTTGAAAAAATAGCAAGATAGGGCTGGCATTGTGGCGTTGTAGGTAAAGTCATCGTCTGCAATACTGGCTTCCCTTTGTTTAAATAGCATGCCGCTTGAGCGGCTTGGCTTCGGAGTTCTGCCTTCCACGCCGCCCCACTTCATTTCAGCTTCCTGTTTATGTGTGCCAGGGAAGCAGTAGATAATGGCTCAGGCTTTTGGATCCCTGTCACAAGACCCTCTGAAGCTCCTGGCGTCTGACTGTGGTCTGACTGTTCCCCCACTGTTGTGGGCGTTTGTAAAGTAAACCAGAGAGTGGGTGGGAGTTCTCTCTGTGTATGTATGTGACCATATGTGTTGTGTGTGTCTCTCTGCCTTTCAAATAAATGAAATAAGTGAAAGGTAAATTTATTTTTGTGCAAAGGAAATTTAAGTCCTTGCATACTAAAGAGTCTTCAGAGATCCTGGGAAAAGTATGTTATGAAAAGAACTGCATGGATTTTTTTTTCCTCTCTCTCTGCAAATGTATTAAACTTGTAATAATATGATTCCATGAGCTTTAAAAAAGTATTTACAGGTATAGGAAGTACAAATTTTTTTAAAAATTATGAAAATATGTTTACGAAAGAGTCTCTTCCCACCTGTTGACGCAATCCTGAAATGCACAAATGGCCAGAACTAGAGTAGGCTAAAGCAAGGAGCCAGGAACTCAATCCAGACCTCCTATGTAGCTAACTGGGCCCTTATTACTTGAACCATCTAGCAGCCTGCTGCCTTCCAGGTTGCACATGTACAGAAAGCAGAATTGGAAGCAGAGTTGGGCTTCTACTGAAGGTATTGTGGGATTCAGGCATCCCAAATGGCATGGTATCTTTTTGTTTTTGAAGATTTGTTTGTTTGTTTTCGAAAGTCAGATTTACAGAGTGAAGGAGACACAGAGAGAATGATTTTCTGTCCACTGATTCACTTCCCAAGTGGCCACAATGGTCGGTGCTGAGCTGAACTGAAGCCAGGAGCTTCCTTCAGGTCTCCCACATGAGTGCAGGGTCCCAAGGCTTTGGGCTGTCTTCTACTGCTTTCCCAGGCCACAAGCAGGGAGCTGGATGGGAAGTGGATTAGCTAGGACATGAACCAGCGCCCATATGGGATCCTGGTGTGCATGTAAGGCATGAATTTAGCCACTAGGCTACCCCGTTAGGCCCCAGAGTGGCATCTTACCCACTAGGCCAAATGCTCACTTTTCTGTAAAATTTTTGTGGTGTTTATATATATTAGTTAAGTATAGTTGTTGTTGCATCTCCAACTTGTGTTGCACTCCTGTATTTCTTATGGACTCTTTGTTGTGATTCTCTGGAAAGGCTATAGAGCTTTATAAATTCATCTGTTCCTCATCTTTAAGAGAAAATTATGTGATTCATGCAAAGGAAATGAATCCCCTTATCCCCGCTGTAAAAAACATCTTTGCCTTTGAACCATAAAATTTTAAGCAGGTGTGCTCTTGATATGTTCATAAATGTATGTTAAATGCCTACTTTGTACCAAATGATTTTACCAAAGAAACATTCAAAAAGTGGGAAACCACCAATCCTTGCTGCTCTCTGGCTTAATTGGTGAAACAGCAGTTGTGTAAATGATATTCACAATGCAATGTGTTTAATGTTGTCAGAAGTAGATATGAAGGCTCTGGAATGTTTAACCCAGATTCTGATCTTTGGTGAAAGTCTGATCCTGCAAAATAAACAGCATTTGGCCACACCCATAGCTGGGGGCACAGTGGGGTGGATAAGGGACACTTAAAGGTCAGTGGCCAAAGGGAAAACTTGAGGACAGGACAGAGATTGGAAAAGATAAGGTAGTTTGGAGATTACAGGTAGCTTGGCTTCTTATGATACTTTGCTAGCTAAGCAGAGTTTAGAAGACTGTGGAATGTGGTTTTTGATATCTGTTAAGATTTTTTGTGTAAAAAAATAATGAATATCAGTTTTAAATAAATTGTGCTAAGTTGCTTAAGTTTCATGTATATTTCCAAATGCTAATCATAGTACTTCTTGCTTATATTGTGAGCCTGATCATTTAATAATTTGCTCCCAGGGCCGGCACGGTAGCCTAATGGTTAAAGCCTTTGCCATGCATGCAACCAGGATCCCTTGTGGGTGCCAGTTCTAATCCCGGCAGCCCTACTTCCCATCCAGCTCCCTGCTTGTGGCCTGGGAAAGCAGTAGAGGACAGTCCAAAGCCTTGGGACCTTGCACTCATGTGGGAGACCTGAAGGAAGCTCTTGGCTTCAGGTCAGCTCAGCACCGACCATTGTGGCCACTTGGGGAGTGAATCAATGGCTGGAAGATCTTCCTCTCTGTCTCTCCTCCTCCCTGTATATCTGCCTTCCAATAAAAATAAATGAATCTATGAAAAATAATAATAATTTTCTCCCAAGTATCTTAGCTCTGTGCTTTAGCTTTATTGGAGTATAATTTATCTGCAACACCAGTTTTATATATACCATTCATTGTTTATTGACAACTCTACATAGTCATGTAACCATTATAAAATACTACATTTATCATGATATAATGTGTTTCTGCCATTTCTCAATTAATAATTTTAATAAATTAATTAATATTTTAAACGAGGAAGATGGAGTATTTGAAGAATGTAGAAATTAAGAGTCATCAATTTTTAAACCAGAAAATGAATTTTTTTTTCTTAGGAAATGCTCACAGGGAAGCTTTGTACAGTTACTGCTTTGTGGAGGAGTGTTGTCTCTTAAAATAATCAGTAGGAAGAGGAGGAAGGAAGTAGCAATAATAAATTATCTTCAGCGTTATGATGTTATATAAAAATGTTGCGGGCGGGACAAGAAACAGCTATCAAGAAAACAAAACAAAAATTGTAAATACTGAGCTAGAAACCTCAAATGTGAGTTCTAATAAGCAATTTCACTGGTCTTGATTTCCTTGACATTAAATGGGGATATTAAATGCCATTTCTTAATTATTTATAACTTCATAGAGTTTTATGCAGTGTGACTAAGAGTTACAGATTAGAGGCAGGAGAGTTTAGAATGAAGGCTATATTTGAAAAGGAAACAGAGTTAGATTTTTCTCACTCAGTTGTATTTCCATATATATGATATATTGACTGTTACAGAATTGGAAATTAGGATTTTTTGAAACCATTCCATCTGTAATTCTGTTTTATAATTATGATTTATTATGAATAGAGATAAGTTTCTCCAGGATAATGAATATTTTGTTACTGCTACTAAACCAGATTTGTTTTCTTCCCTAGAAGTTATTTTTAGGAAAAGAAATACATGTTTAGATATGAGAAGTACAAAGGTTTATATTTAAACAATTGTTTTATTCATGATATTTGTTTGTTTTAACCAGTTACCCACGGGTGTATTGTTTCCACAATAAAACTTTTTCTACCAGATGGTATGGAAGCCCGGCTCCGCTCAGAGTGAGTATAATTTAGTGCTCTTTAATTCGGGGATTAATTATTTTGGTTAATAATATTCTAGACAATAATAAACAGTCAGTGTTGTAAGATTATTTTAATTAGGTTATATAATTGCTGTTATATTTCCTGGAGTATGATACACTTTATTTTAAATTGCTTTTCACATTAGTTGAAATTATACTAAATAGAAAGCATTAGAGGCAGGGATTATTTTGTTTCTAAATTTAGTTTTATAGTTTTTATTTTAATTCGTGTCTAATTGTTTTTTCACAGTGTTTGGGGCATGCTAGTCGTGGTGGCACCTCCATCCCTTTGGGTAGGAGGTTACTGTAGCGGTTCTTAGACACTGATTGCCTGTACAATTAATACATGAATACCGAGCTCACAATCTTACAGGCCCTTGAATATGTTTTTTTTTTTTTTCACAGTTTCAAGTTGTGTGTTGTGTGTGTGTATTTAAGTGAAAGTCACACATACAATCTAGATTTTAAAATATAAACATAAGTACATTTTGATTTGGTGATTTTTACAACACAGCTGCATGATCCTTAAAAATCCTTTTTTTTAAATGCTTGAATTGCTAGCAGCTTGTTTCTGTACTCAACATGATATTTTCTGCCCTAAAAGAGGAGGGACAGTGATGCGTGAGAGCATGGAAACTGAAGGACAAGAGCAGTGAGTAGGAGAGAAGCAATAGAGATTCTTCTGTCACTGTGACCGTCTGTACTTTGATTAGTCATGTATTTTATACTTCACTTAGAAGATACCTTTAATGGAAAAAAAAAAAGGTTTATTTTTTTAAAATCAGGGTTACAGAGAGAGAGCTTCTATCCGTTGGTTCTCTAACCAAATGGCTGCATCTGGGTCTCATTTGTGGGTGGCAGGTGCCTAACTACTTGGGTCATCTTGCCCAGGTTTTCCCAGGTCATTAGCAGGGAGATGAATCAGAAGTAAGCAGCAGAGATACCAACTGGCGCCCAGATGGGGTGCAGGTGTAACAGGTGGTGGCTTTACCTGTTGTATGCCATACAAAGCTTTTAAACCCAATGTTTTTCCAGTGCTTTCTTATCATTATTTATTTTTCATGTGAGAGGACCAGGCAGAAAGAAAGCAAGAAGGAAATATATACATAGAAAAGAAAGGGGCACGGGGGAGAATCTTCTATCTGCTAGTTCATTCTACAGCTGGAAGAGCTGAGATGTGCCAAAGCCAGCAGACTGGAATTCCATTGGACTCCTTCACCACTCATGTAGAAGGGGTCCTGGGGTCCTAAAGTACTTGAAGCCAACTAGGATGTGTTAACAGGTTAAGAAGTGGAGGACCTGGGGCTTAAACTGGCACTCTGTACTCATTTAAAAAAAAAATTTTTTTAAAGAGTATCTGAAATACAGCATAAATGTTAAAGATATTTTAAATTTACAAAATTAATGTTTCTTGTTTTAAACGGGTTTAATTATGAAAATAGGAGAAATTTTGAACTTCAATGAAACAACTTTTTTGAGCCCAGGAGCAATATTTTATAACTAAGAGTAACTCTTAATTTACTGATGATGTATAGCTTCTTGAAAGACCTTGAGGTCTGTATTTGGTAACAGCTTTTTCCTTCAAACTTTGAGCAGCTACCTGAGGAGTGTGGGTTCCCAGGTTCCAACTGGCAGAGTGTGTGAGTTTTTTCAGTTAATTATGACCTTAGTCATTGGGTTTTTTTAGTCCATTTCACCTTTGTTCCCATTACCCTCTTTCTGGTATTCCCCCCCACTTTTTTTTTTTTAAATATTAGCATCGTTTACAATTTTGCTGTAGTTCCTTGTACATGATTTTGATTGCCTTTCTGGAAAATTTTTGGACAGGCCATTCTCCTGAGTTGGAAGAAGATCCGATAGCCTTCAGAAGTAGTGTAGTCAAAGCCTAATGCCAGGTGTTCTGTGACTTGATCAGGGTTCATTTTCTCAACTGAAATATGAAGATGACAATAATACCGTTGGAGCAGGAACTTTATGAAGATTAAGCAACATTCTGTGCTTGAAGTACTCAGCCTAATACCTGGCATGGAATACATGTGTGATCCACATTAGAGCTGTTCCTGTTACTTTAATCAATTTTTGTAATGCTTAACATGCTTTTGGATGTGCCACATGCCTTGATTTTAGATTGTGTATATAGCAGTTAGTGCTTTTCAGATTTTCAGCAGGTTATTCTCCAAAAGCTGACTCTTGTTCCTTGATTTCTTATAGTATACAATTTTTTTCAAGATGTATTTTTATTGGAAAGTCAGATTTACAAAGAAGAGACAGAGAGAATGATCTTCCATCTCCTAGTTCATTCCCCAAGTGGCTGCAATGGTCAGAGCTGAGCCGATCCGAGCAAGGAGCTTCTTCCGGGTGTCCCACGTGGGTGCAGAGTCCCAAGGCTTTGGGCCTTCCTCAACTGCTTTTCCAGCCACAAGCAGGGAGCTGAAAGGGAAGTGGAGCAGACAGGATATGAACTGGCACCCACAGAGTATCCTGGAACATGCAAGGCAAGGAGTTTAGCTACTAGGCTACTACCCTGACCCATAAGCAATTTTCTAATGATAAGAAATGTAGATACTACATGAAGCTCCACTGTTCTAATACTGAACACTTGTTTTCATTTTCTGCATTCTCTGGCTCTTTTATATACACGTGGACTTTCTTCATAATTTAAATAAAATATGCCTATATCCAAGAGAGTCTGTGAAGTGCAAATGCATATTATCACATGTGTTACTGGATGTTTATCCTTTTGTTTGTTAACTAAATTTTCACAAGAACAGAAGATTTTATGTTTGAATCAGTAAGAAAGCTAGATTCTTACCCAAATTTTAGTAGCACCATTTGCTCCCATTTACATTTTCCTATTTGTTTCCCTTTATGTGCATATGCAAATAAAAGAATATATAACCAAAATGGTTATATCTGGATAGGGTACTAGCACTGAGCAGTTTTGATCTATTTGTTCATGGTTTACTTCATATATGTTCTATCATCAATATATAGTAATTGTACTCTTAAAAATGAGCTTATCTTGGGTCCAACACAGTGGCCTAATGGCTAAGGTCCTCACATTGAACGTGCCAGGATCCCACATGGGTGCTGGTTCTAGTCATGGCAGCCCCGCTTCCCATCCAGTTCCCTGCTTGTGGCCTGGGAAAGCAGTCAAGGATGGCCCAAAGCCTTGGGACCCTGCACCCGCATGGGAGACCCGGAAGAGCTCCAGGCTCCTGGCTTCAGATTGGTGCAGCACCGGCCATTGCAGCCACTTGGGGAGTGAAGACTGTGCAATAAAAATAAGTAAATCTTTTTTTTTTTTTTAAATGGGCTTATCTTAAAATGTCTAATTTTATAGGGTAAAAAGGAAAACTGAAGCTGCACATGATTATTAAATTATTAAATTTAGTGAATTAATCACACTAATTAAAACATAGAAGTACAGTAGCGAGTTATATAGAGAAATCTCTGTAACACAGAGATCATGGATGCTCAGAAAGGAGTGGAGTGCTGGAATTATTAGTAAATTTGATCAGTTGTGCCAGATCAGTTCCTTAGCAGCTTACACACAATTAGCCACTTGAATTTAAGAATCTGACCCAGTCTTCAAGCTGAGTGACTGGTCAGGTGCAAATGATTAGTACCTGCTAAGGCAGATATGTGTGCCCCAGACTTACCCCCAACTCACATAGATTATTTTGTAGGATATGAAAAGTAGAGGCCTTGCCTTCCTTAGCTGTGGGCTTATCATGGTCCTGCTTGAAGCTCTTTATTTAAGCAGATTCAATACAGTAATTTGGGTTGATAATTTTCATTTTTATGGTTGAGGAAGAGGAGATCTGCATTGATCAGGCAATTTGTCTTTTGCTGGGAAGGAAGAGCTAGAATTTGGACCCAGTCAGTGTAATTTCTGAACTTGCATGCTTTAGTTCTAAACTTTGTGTCAGTATTATTTAAGCAATTAGCAGCTAGTAACACTGTCTGTTTAATGTTTGTTTTAAAGTGACAGTTCAATTTAATACGTACATTTAAGTATTCAATTTCTGAGGTGGCTGGTACAGCAAAATAGTACTACTGTCCTTTTTTAAAAAAATATATTTGTATTCATTTGAAAGATTTGATTGAGAGGGAAGGAAAGACAGAGGGAGGCCTTCTATCCACTGGCTCCCCTTCCCAAATCACCACAGTGTCCAGAGCTGAGCTGACCTGAAGCCAGGAGCCAGGAACTTCTTCCAGATCTCCTACGTGGGTGCAAGGTCCCAAGGCTTTGGACCATGTTCTGCTTTCCCATGTCACAAGCAGAGAGCTGGATGGAAAGTGGTGCAGCCAAGACGTGAACAGGCTTCCACATGGGATGCCAGGCCGCAGGGCAGAGGGTTAGCCTACCACCAAGTTGGTCCCAGTACTGCTGTTCTATTTAGCATTATTGTTCACTAGAGAAGGTTTCCAGATCTTAGCCTTTCTTTACTGTAGAACTTGGGTCTATAAGACATTCTCCATAGGAGTGTTTAATTTTAGAAGCTTAACCTATACATCCCCAAATTGGAGATGAGGGATTTAGAGAGTGATTCTTTGCTATGTCAATGTAATAAAACAAATCCTAGAGGATATCGGGGTAAGTTAAGTAAACCACAGAAAGACAAATGTCAACAGTTTTCCTTCTTATGGAAGCTAGAAACCTCTCTGAGCATGAAGTAGTGATAATAGAGGGTTAGAGGACTTCAGAGGATAAAGGAAGTTTGGTTAACAGGTGCCAAAATCAGGATACATCAAAGAAATGTTACACTGAATAATTGGGTGACTGTGATTCATAATAATCAAATACATGTCTTAAGAGCAGATGTAAGAAAGGAACTTCAAACCTCATAAAGTGATGGTATAGAAGGGGAAAGGTTGATTGCTCTGATTTGATCAGTACATATTATGTACTTGTATTAAAACATCACATTGTGACCCATCAATAAGTATAATAATTACTAATCAAAAAACATTGAAACTGCAGTTTAAGAACTGGGGAAATGATCTGAATGTGTATTTCTTAAAACAAATGCAACTGGCCAAGAAATATATGAAAAAATGCTCATTATCATTAACCACCAGGAAAATGCAAATCGAAATCACAATGAGATACTGTCTCACTCTCAATAGGATGAGTTTTACCAAAAAGATGTGGCACTAATCCCAGTAGCTATGATGTAGACCCAATCTTGATGTCTGGCGTTAGGTGAATTATTTAAGTAAATGTAAATACCTAAATGGAATAGTACCCAATGATTAATAAGAATTAAATCCAGTATTTCGTTTACAATAAAATGGTTGGGATTTTAGGTTCATTCAATGAATAAGCCAGGTGCAGAAAGGTAGATATTATAGGTTCTCTTTCATGTGTGAAGTTTAAACAAATGTCATTTTGAACTTATATTAGTGATTATTAGAATCTGGGAATGATGGGAGGAGAGGAATTGGAAGGATGTTGGAAAAAGGGTAACAAAACTCAGACAGATAGGAATGAGAGGTCCCAGTGTACCACAGCACACTGGGGCAATCATAGATCACCGTAACATGTTACAGCCTGAGAACCTGGAAAGCAGGAGCTAGAAGCCTCCAAACTTGAAAGGAAGGTAGGGCAGTGGGGATGTTCAATATCTGCTTTGATCCATTTATGCTTTCTGTATATATTAAAATTATGCACTTGCCTCAAAAGTGTATATGTTACATGTTAATCAAAATTGTCTTTTAAAAATATAGCCTAAGACTCCATCACCACCCTCAGTAAGTGTGGATTCTTTCCCAGTATTTAATACATTTTTGGATTGGAGCTTGCTTTTAGAAATATACTGATGTGTAAAAATTTGGTTAATGTATTTGTTACCCCCTTTTTATTCCCTACAAATTTATACATTTACAGAGGTTTAAAAAGATAATTCATGTTCTTTTAGCTATATGAAGGCAAATGTGTCAGTTTTGTGGTTTGTGATATTCTGGTACTGTCATATTCTTGTCTCCTCTAATTGTCAGGAAATTCGATAAAAATTCTAAATTTTGCTTTTCAGTGTCATCCATGCCCCATTACCAAGTCCTGTTGACAAAGTAAGTTGCTAATAATTATTCTTTATAGCCTGTTTTAGTTTACTTTGAAACTATTTTGTTTGTAATATGATTCATCTAGAAACTTATTTCTCTGTAACAAAATATGTAGAATATGTATAACTATGTAGTAATCCTCTGGTATTTAATATCTGGAAATTTTAGGATGTTTCTTCAATAAAAGGCTTTGTTATTTCAACCCATTAACTGTATAGACTATAAGTACCTATTTAGTTCTTAGGTAAAGGTAAGGAATGTTTGCTATTATTTTTTACTCTAAGTTATAGCTTTGTCTAGAAATTTCTTAAAACTTTCCATCTACATAGTTCACTCAACATTTGTATATACTGGAAAGTAGTAAAGAAATATGTGCTCTTTCATAGCAGTGTTCAGGTATTATTTCAAAGATCAGTTTTAACATGATCTGAACATAAACTACGTAATAATTACCAACTAGGAACTATTTTTCTTTTGTTCAAAAATAGCAGTGCATTAAATGATAGATACTACTTAATAGCAAAAACTCTTTCACATCTTCTGGCATTAAAGTGGTATTGGTTTTCTTACTGCAGTAACTGAACTATTGGGACAAATGTTCTACTTATTTCTTCCTTTTGGGAAAAGAATGAAAGCATGCTTTAAACTGTTGATTCCTTTTTAGTAATGTAAGTGTTTAATCCTGGGTTTCTGCAGTACCAAGAATTACTCCAGAAATAAATAATGGTCTTGTGACTTAGAACTTAGTTTAAAAAAAAAGTTGACTTTTTTTTCTTGTCTTCTAGTCAGCACATTAATAAAAGTATACTTTCTGATCACTAAAAGGAATGATACTGTGACCTCATTAATAAGTTACCGCTTAGGCTTTGTTAGTGTTGAGTAGGAAATTGCAGCCATGCCATGGGTCTCCATTCCACAGGTTTGAAAACCAAGCTGTTGTAATACTCTTGATTTCTAAAAGCTTGACTATGATTTGCAGTGTTTGTTTATTTATTTATTTTTGTAGGTTTGAACACCATTATCTCTCATCCTTTTTCTTAAAACCTGTGTATAGTTTGAGAGAGAGTAATTATCTCTGGCCACCGGATAAAATGTGAAATTTCACACCCTCAAGCACACACACATACAAATACCATTTTGAAATGGCTACTTTTTTTTTTTTTTGACAATCTTTACATAGTTAATTAGGGCAAAAAAGGTTCAAGGGCTACAGGAAAGTGGGTAAGGCTATTTTTTCCACATTGTTTTTTTCCTGTATCTGGGGTAAAGGGGGAGGTAAAGGGAGAAGCCCCACCCAGTCTCCCACCCATCTTGCTCAAGTGGTCTTGATAGTTCAACAGTTCTGAATTGCTGCCAATCTCGCCATTCCAAGCACAGTGAAGTTGCTGCAGAATCCTCTGATTGACATACCATAGATTCCGTTTGCCCAGTTTTTCACTGCCAACATATGGCTGGGGTAGTTGATTGATCTGTTCTGTCCTCTGTGGTGATGCCAGGTGTCCTCTGCAGATTCCGATAGACTGCCGTATCCTCCATGTGCAGCTGGTTATTCTCTCCACTGCTCCGTCTGAGCCTCTGGGGAGGCTTGGTTCTGGCACTTGTACTCCATGGCAAGACCATGGTTTCTGAGTCCGGCAGTTCTATTGGGTAGATCCCAAAAGAAACTTTGTCTGAGGTGATCCCACACCAGATTCTTGTGTGTACCTGCAAGTATAGGGCCCGGCACAGTCCATCGCCCCAATCAGCTGGTGGTTGCAATTGCTGGGTCGGTTCTGTTTCCAGCCCTGTCTTCCACTGGAACCAATGGGTGTTGCAGTCCAACCTGATTCTGGAAATGGCTACTTTTAATAAATTGTTTTGGAGAACCATTTAACAATGAATTATAAAAGGAAAGTAAGTGGCTCTGACTTTGGAAGTATTATTTCTGCATTGTTTTCATGAGTAGTACTTGTTCTACCACCTGCTTTTAAGCTTTTAAACCAGGTAATCAGGTATAAATACCATTTACAAACTTTGGACATAGCACAGAGGTATATTGACAACTAAGGAAACTGATGAATTTTTAAAATAATGTTTTGTGCATTTAGGCAAATAGATAATTCAAGGAATTGATTTGTCTTCAATGTCTTTTATAAAAAGTGTTTTATGTGATTGTTGACACTGTATCATTTTATTTCTAGGTTGCTGCTAACACTCCAAGTATGTACTCTCAGGAACTATTCCAGCTTTCTCAGTATCTTCAGGTAAAAGTTAATCTTGAGACTTTCTTAAAAGCAGAATCAAATAAATAATTTACATTTATTTCTTTAGCTCACAAACAGAATTTAAAAGCACTGGGGAAAAAAAGAATTTTTAAAGTACTGGAAGAATATAAATACAAAAGAAAGGACAAAGAATTAAAAATAGGTTCATGCAGCCCAGTTCAGGCCTAACCTAGTGGCTAAAACCCTTGCCTTGCCTGTGCCAAGATCCCATATGATGCTGGTTTGTGTCCCGGAAGTCTCACTTCCCATCCAGCTCCCTGCTTGTGGCCTGGAAAGCAGTGAAGGATGATCTAAAACCTTGAGACCCTGCATCTGTGTGGGAGAACCGAAAGAAGCTCCTGGCTTTAAATCAGCTTGGCTCCAGGCATTGTGGCCACTTGGGGAGTGAACCAGCAGATGGAAGTTCTTTTTCTCTGTATCTCCTCTCTGTATATCTGACTTTCTAATATAGTTTGAGGCTGAGTTATAGTTATTCTGGTGAGGGAAGATGATTAACAAAAATTTTGTGCTTGAAATTTAGAGATTGAGGTTTTTTTTGTTGTTGTTTTGTTTTGTTATTTAAATTTTGGCTTTCTTCCTAAATCAGTTCCATGACCTTGGGTGAGTCATTTTACATTCAGGTGTCTTTTGTTTGAAATTATAGAACGAAGCCAGTGATCCGGGGTTCCTACCTTCTTTAATGGGAATCAGTCACTGAGGGATGTTCTGCCTCAGTTAAGGATATACACATCTATAAAAATAAATTATCAGTGTATTAGCTGGATCTTCTACCAGGTATAATGTGTTCTTACATTAAAACAACAACAACAACAAAAACAGCTCAACACATTTGTGCTTTCGTAGAATATCAAAGAATTCCCCAGATGTGATCCCTAACTGTAATTCCTGAGGTGCTTCATTTTCCTCCTCTGTGAAATGGATAGAATAATAGCATTTATTTTACTGAATTGTGAATAAATGAATTTATAAATATAAAACACACAGATTATTGCCTGGTATATACAGTGAAAAATTATTTACTTTTCAATAGGAAGGCATTTTTCAAAAATCTGTCTGCTCTTAGAGATGCAAGAAAACTTTGAGATTAATTTGGCATAAATTTCATTTTGTGTCTGAGTAATATGGTGCTCATAATCTTTAAATCATGATCCCAAGGCTGTTCCCTATTGTTGCTCATACTAATAATCTGTTAGTTAAGCTCATGCCTTGGTTTGTTGATTCCTAACTTTTTTTCTTGTGAATATTCATGGTAGACTCACCTCACTTTTCCTTTTTCTGTCTCCTTAAAGAGAAAATTATACCACACATTCTGTATATTTCGTTATTGAATTGCTAATGTAGATTCTGAACCTTTTGAATAAAAGTTAGAATGCATGCGTTCCATGTCTTAGAATTGAGAGACCTTTTATAAAGTGTAATTACACCATCTAGTGGAGGTAGATTCTAAAGATATAGTTGGTTAGTAGACTGATTTTTCTGTAAAACATTCTATAGCATCTATAACTTCTTGTATATTAGGAAGGTGTTAGGAGCAAATAAACATGGAATGTAAATTGTCCTTTTTCTATAGATTCTGAGATAGTTCTTTTATTAGATATTTTAAATATATTTTTGAGTTGTGTAAAAATATAATACCTCTAACTCTAAAATGATCACCTTTTCCTTGATTATTAAAGGATGTGAAAGGCAATACATTCTTTTTTTAAAAAAGATTTATTTATTTTTATTGCAAAGTCAGACACACAGTGAGGAGAGAGAGAGAGAGGAAGGTCTTCCCCCCATGATTCACTCCCCCGGTGACCACAGCAACTGGAGCTGCAGTGTTCCAAAGCCAGGAAGCAGGAAACTCTTCCGGGTCTCCCATACAGATGCAGGGTCCCAAGGCTTTGGGCCGTCTTTGACTGCTTTCTCAGATCACAAGCAGGGAGCTGGATGAGAAGCAGGGCCACTAGGATTAGAACTGGTGCCCATATGGGATCCTGGCACATTTAACGCGAGGACTTTAGCCACTCTAGGGTACTGTACTGAGCCCATGAAAGGCAATAAATTCTTGCTTCAAACATCAAATACTGTGTTTGAAGTGTACACTTGTCTGTTGAGGTAACTTGACAGTTTTAAGGTAGTAAATGTTCTTTGGATAATAACAGGAATAAAAGAAGGTAAAGAATGTATGCCAGGGTCTTTCCTCCCTTGAAGCCCCATCCTGTCACTACGGCAGGAGACCTCTCTCTCACTCTCAAATAAATCTTGTTTTGCACTCTGAAAATATACATGAGAAACATGGTGTACATTCTTCTTTTCATTCATTGTTCTGGGCCCAGCTCAATAACTCAATGGCTAAATCCTCACCTTCAAGCACTGAAATGCCGTATGAGTACCGGTTCATGTCGCAGCTGCTCTGCTTCTTATCCACTTTCCTGTTGTAGCCAGGGAAAGCAGTGGAGGATGGCGCCAATCCTTGGGACCCTGCACTTGCATGGGAGACCTGAAAGAAGCACCAGGTTCCTAGCTTCATTTCGGCTTAGCTCTGGCCATTGAGGGCATTTGGGGAGTGACCCAGCAGATAGAGGATCTTTGTCTCTCGTCTCTGTAAATCTCATCTGCCTTTCCAATAAAAATAGATTAAAAAAAAAAAAGAATGTATGCCAAAACCACAACTAAGTGCCGCCAGCGTTTCACATGGAAACTACTCCCAGTAAAGTATGTCACGATGTTAACAGCTATAAAATGTTAACCAGTCATCTAACAATCAGACTTTGTTCACAAGTGATTTTCACTGTAAAATATTCCTTTGGAGCTGCCAAATTGTTATTTAACTCATTGATCCCTTAAGTACGTTGAAGCAATATTTGCTGAGTTCTTGTTTACTTGCAGCCTATTAATTGCTGCTAAGTGGAGTACAGTCAGAAAATTAGAACACCTAGAGATGCTGTGATAAAATAGCTGGGAGAGTGGTTCTCCCTGAATAAGCACTTCTAAAGCACAGAAATTTTTAAACAAAAGCTGTTTCATTTTAAAAGATCATTTTTATACACTGAAAAAATTATAAGCTATTTTAGCTGCTTGCCAAGATTATATTATCTTGTTTTATACAGAGTTTGTTTTGAGATATACGTTTTGGATTTATGTGTGTGTGTGTAGATATTACATATGTGTGCATACATATGAGTAAATGCAAGCGTGAACCAATTGTTGGCTTTTTCTGGTATAGATTTTTAAAGACACTCTTCTAAATTTTAACTAAATAAAACCTAAAGCAGTTTACTCGGTAGGGAGTTAGTGTAGCAATTAAGACACCCATATCACGAACCAAATTGCCTGGATTTGTTACCAGGCTCTGGATTCGGAGTTCAGTGTCCTGCTAATGCAGACCCTTGGAGGCCACAGTGATGGCTGGAATTGCTCAGTCACTGCTCTCTGCACTGGAAACCTGCTCTGTATTACCGCCTCCTGACCTCAGCCTTGTCCCAGCCCTGACCGAGGACACTCTCTTTGTCTTTATTTTTGTCTCTGTGCCTCTCAAAGTTGCTTTTATTTTTTAATAAAAGCTTATTTACATATTTACTATATTTGTAAACAGGTGAATTCTTTTCTTGGTATAGGTGAAGTTGCAGCTAGAACATCTCTAACAAAATTAAAATCCATCAAATTCTAAAATAATATAGCCTAGATACATTTTTAAAATTATGTTTAAAAATTTTTGGACTATATTAAGAGAAATGTAATAATATGAGACTATATTCCAAAAGAAATTTAATTGATTGCTCTTTAAAAGACTCATTGAGTTTATTAAAAATCTCTTTTGTGACTTATAATACTAGGAGGCCTTACATCGGGAACAGATGTTGGAACAGAAGTTAGCTACGCTTCAGCGACTACTGGCCATCACCCAAGAGGCTTCCGATACCAGTTGGCAGGTATCCTACTTACGTTTATTTTCAAGAAACATTTTAAATATGGTTTAATGTTCTTTGTAGCTTGAATGAACTAAAACTAAATTTTTGTGGCAAACATAGTTTTCTAACTAATGAACATATGTTGAAAATTTAGCCAGATATGGGTCAATTTTATGATTTCATCTTTTGTTAATTGAAATCTTTATATATGTATGTTATTGTGTAGATACTCTTGGGTTATATTTATATTTAACTTTTCTTCAACAGGCTTTAATAGATGAAGATAGGCTCTTATCACGGTTAGAAGTTATGGGAAACCAATTGCAGGCATGCTCCAAAGTAAGTATTAATCTCATTTATGTAAAGAAATCTACATAGTATTTTTTGTGACTTCCTTTCTTTGAATGTAATTCTGAGTAAATATTAAAACATTGATGTGTTTCCACCATTCTTTTAATCATTTGAAATGGGAAATTTCAAGTAACACCTGTGAGTAGAAGTAATAATATAATGAATGCTCGTGTATAGCTATAATTGTTCCGTTGTAGTTGATGCTTTTTGAAGAAACTAGGTCATTTACAGAAGTTCCTTCAGTTGGCAAGTTTTTTGGTCCTTTTTTTCTTTAAGATTTTTTTGTTTTGTTTTAATTTTTGTTGGAAAGTCAGATATACAGAGAAAGAGAGAAAAAGATCTTCTGTCCATTAATTCACTCCCCATGTGGCTGCCAATCTGAATCCAGGAGCCTGGAGCCTCTTCTGGGTCTCCCATGCGGGTGCAGGGTCCCAGGGCTTTGGGCCGTCTTCGACCACTTTCCCAGTCCATAAATAAGGAGCTGGATAGGAAGCGGAGGGGGCCCCCAGGATTAGAATTGGCACCCGTATGGGATCCTGGCACATGCAAGGCGAGGACTTTACCCACTAGGCTATCACACTTGGCCTCTAAAAAAACTTTTTAAATTGTATTTTATTTTTACATAGTTGGTTAGGGTGCAAAGGATGAAGGGCTAGAGGAAGATGGGTGAGACCATTGTTTCCACATTCCCTTTTTTCCTTCATGTATCTGAGGGAAGAGGGGAGATAAAGGGAGAAACCACACCCAGCCTCACAATCATCTCAGTGTCCCCAATTTGGGCATGCTCCGAGGGTCCTGCTCAAGAAGTTTTGATAGTTCCACAGTTCTGAATTGCTGCTGATCTCACCACTCCAAGCATGTTGATTCTCTCCAGAATCCACTGGCTGACATAGTCACCTTAGAGTATCCGTTTGGTCTGATTTTTACTGCCAACACTTGGCTGGGGTAATTGATCAATTTGTTTTGAATATTTGATCAGAATAAACCTCTTCAGAATGACTCCTTAGTCTTTTTTTATAAAAGCCTAGTGGAGTTTGTTAGATTTATGCTGACAAACAAGCAAAGACATTTTTTGCACATTTCTTACCTCAGACTTGAAGTCCACATTGTTCCTTTCATACCGTTTTTTTTGCTTTTTTTTTTTTTGAACTATTATTTTAGGCTTGGTGCTTCTAAAGATAATTACTTTTGCCTCTGGATGTAATTAAGATGGTATGCAGAATACTAATAATTTGAGTATTTAATTTTGTGTTTTTGAAATTGTCAATCACTTTTTGTCTTTTTATTGGAAGTGAATATTAATATGTTTGTAAAGGTATAATTTACTGATGCAGTTTTTAAATATAGCTTCAGTTTATAAATGATTAGCATCATTTGTGTTTGGAGGTACCTTATTATAGAATTTAAAAATATTATAATCTGCTAATATTTAAAAAACTCTAAGTGCTTTTTTAAGAAAAAAACAACTTGTTTATAATTATAAATCCTTTTTTTCTTCTAGAATCAAACAGAAGATAGTTTACGGAAGGAACTCATAGCATTGCAGGAAGATAAACACAACTATGAGACAACAGCCAAAGAGTCCTTGAGGCGAGTTCTTCAGGAGAAAATTGAAGTTGTTAGAAAACTTTCAGAAGTTGAGGTATTTCACTTTTAAAAGTATTAGGTTGCTAGTAGAGTTATTTCTGAATTTTAAACTTTTCAGGGCCCTTTATATTTTTAAATATTTTTATATTTATTTATTTGAAAGGCAGAGTTATAGAGAGAAGAAGAGAGACAGAAAGGAAGAGATCTTCAATCTGCTGATTGATCCCCACGTGGTTGCAACAGTCATTCCTGGGCCAGGTCAAAGCTAGTAGCCCAGAGATTCTTCAAGGTGTCCAACATTGGTTCGGGGACCTAAGCATTTGGGCTATCTGCTGCTGCTTTCCCAGGCACATTAGCAGGAAGCTAATCAGAACTGGAACAGCTGGATCTCAAACCAGTCCCCAAATGGGATGCTAGTGTTAACAAATGGAGGCTGAACGCACTCTGCCACGGTGCCAGCCGCTCCAGGACCTTTGAAACTTGGTAATATATGGCTAGAAAATATTTGTTCAGGTAGGAAGGAAAGAGTACACTGCTTTAGCCAAGTTCTCATTAGGAGGGTAGGACTCCTAACCAGGGAATCTTGGCAATTTGTATTTATGTATTTCAGCCTTTATACAGTGGACAGTGTTGTGTGCCAGATGGCCTCCTGTCACCTGGTTTTGCTTTTGGTCCAGGATGGTCTGGAACTGACTACTACACGTTAGCTCACCTGTCCTCCAGAGAGGAACTCATTGTTGCTTACAGTGTTAGAGATTCCAAGAGTGATTTATCTTCAGTGCTCTTTCTGGGTACTTGAGGAATAAAATTGTTTCACATTAAGCATGATATCATAAAAGTTAATACACTCAAAATATCTTAAAGGTTAAAAGTAACAGATTGTGGCCCTTTAGAGTAGAGTTGCGTAAAGGTAACGTTCTCTTCCTGACCCCTAGGGCTTTTTTTTTTTTGCAAATTCATACTTGCACTTTTTGTTTCCATATGCCTTGAAATAAATTAAAATCCACATATTACTGAACTATGTTTTATAAAAAGTCCAAGGCAAAAAAAAAAAATGTTGGTTTAGAATTACTCATAGAATTGTATTTTTATAAACTAAATTTAAAAAGAAGTTCTAAGTTATTAAGTTATATTTATTGAGTAAATTACTTACAAACTTGAATTGCAGCGAAGCCTGAGTAATACTGAAGATGAATGTACACACCTGAAAGAAATGAATGAACGGACTCAGGAAGAGTTAAGAGAATTAGCCAATAAATATAATGGAGCAGTTAATGAAATTAAAGATCTATCTGATAAATTAAAGGTATGTATTTACTCACCCTGAAAGAATGCTAATAGTCTGTGACACACTGGCTACTTCAACAGGTTGATGCCGCTGAAACTTGCAGGAAAACTTCGTACTGGCTGAAATTTATCATGACAACGAGGTGCTTATATTCCATGCAGCCCAACTTGCAATCCCATAGACAATTAAAAGCTGATTTATTTCCTCTGGGTGAAAATTTAGTAAGTGCTTCCCAGTAGGCATCTTTTAATATATTATCATGTATTTTCAGAAGTATGTTCTGATAAATGAGCTTTAGCAAAACCCAAGATTTTAGCTATGTTTTTTAATCCTAAAACTGCTTATCTTTGGGTTATCCTGATGGCAAACCACGATCAGTGAGTGCTAGAACAAGCCCAGAGGAATCTCAGCGTGATCTGCTTGTCCTCTTTTAACCTGTAAGGATGCGTTGACTCTGACTCAGCTGCAAATCCCTGTGCATACGGGACCTTGAGGTTAGGGTAGGTCACAGCACAAGGTCATGTCTAGTTGGTCCATTAAACTTTTTTTTTAAGATTGATTTATTTTTGTTGCAAAGTCAGATATATGCAGAGAGGGAGAGAGACAGAGAGGAAGATCTTCCTTCGGATGATTCTCTCCCCAAGTGACTGCAACGGCTAGAGCTGCGGTCATCTGGAACCAGGAGCCAGGAGCTTCTTCCAGGTCTCCTATGTGGGTGCAGGGCCCCAAGGCATTGAGCCATCTTTGACTGCTTTCCTAGGCCTCAAGCAGGGAGCTGGATGGGAAGCAGGGCCGCTGGGATTAGAACTGGTGCCCATATGGAATCCTGGCATGTTCAAAGCGAGGACTTAAGCCGCTAGACCACTATCCTGGGCCCAGTTCATTAAACTCTTAAAACTGGGTCAGGTGCAAAAGCCTAGTGGCCCAAGTCCTTGCCTTGCACACACTAGCATCCCATATGGATGCCAATTCTAATCCCAGCGGCTCTGCTTCCCTGCTTGTGGCCTAGAAAGGCAGTGTAGGACGGCCCAAGGCCTTGGGATCCTGTACCACATGGAAGACATGGAGGAGATCCTGGCTCCTGGCTTCAGATTGGCTCAGCAACAGCCATTGCAGCCACATCAGGAGTGAATCATCAGACAGAAGATCTTGCTCGCTCTCTCTCTCTCCTCCTCTCTGTATATCTGCCTTTCCAATAAAAATAAATGAATCTTAAAAAAAAAAAAGGCTTTTAAAACTAAGTATATCAAGATCTGTACATACAGTATACATACATGTAATTCCAACCATGGATTGAATACTTCAAACATATGCATTTTTTAAGGAAGACCAAATCATGCCCTTTCTTTGTGTGGCTGGTTAACCTGTAATAGTTTAAAAATTCTTCTTTTTTTTTTTTTTAAGATTTATATATTTTTATTGGAAAGGCAGATATACAGAGAGGAGGAGAGACAGAGAGGAAGATCTTCCGTACGATGGTTCACTCCCCAAGTGACCACAACGGCTGGAGCTGAGGCAGTCTGAAGCCAGGAGCCAGGAGCTCTTCTGGGTCTACCACTCAGGTGCAGGGTCCCAATTCTCTGGGCTGTCCTTGACTGCTTTCCCAGGCCACAAGCAGGGAGCTGGATGGGAAGCGGGGCTGCTGGGATTAGAACCGGCGCCCATATGGGATCCTGGTGTGTGCAAGGCGGGACTTTAATCACTACGCTATTGCACCAGGCCCTAAAAATTATTCTTTTTTAAAGGTCTTTTGAAAAAGTACATGTGCCAGTATTCCCCTAGCTAAATGCAATTTTACCTAAAATTTCAGATTAAGTTACATTTCAGAATTTAGGATAAAAACTATAGTAATTTTAGTTATTTTACTTTCCTCTTTAAAAATTAATTTTTTTTCAACTTTAACCTTTCTTTATCATGGTGGGGAGCCTGTGTGATTGCTCTACGTTTTTCCTTTTTTAGGTTTCGGGAAGGACTGACCTGAGTGTCAATCCCTTTTGACATTACACCTTTGTCTTTATCTTCCCAGTTTAGAAACACCAGTATGTTCTAGAATATGGAATAATTTGTTTAGATATTTAGGTGAATAAGGCTGTCCTTGTTAAGGCTTATGAAAACATAAGAAGGTCTTATGGAATAACTAAATTTTCTTTTCTGTATTTTATTTTTTTCCTCAACAGGTAGCAGAAGGAAAACAAGAGGAAATCCAACAGAAGGGACAGGCTGAGAAAAAAGAACTGCAGCATAAGATAGATGAAATGGAAGAAAAGGAACAGGAGCTGCAGGCAAAAATAGAAGCTTTGCAAGCTGATAATGATTTCACCAATGAAAGGCTGACAGCTTTACAAGGTAAGTTAGCTAATCCATAAATTGATTTGATTCGATTTCTTTCTTTTTATCTGTGAAATATCTTTTTCTTGGACTTTTATTTACAGTACGGTTAGGACATCTTCAGGAGAAAACTCTTAAAGAATGCAGCAGCTTAGGTAGGTGTGATCCTGTTTCTTTACTTAAAGCCGAATATTTTTTTATCATTAAACCTTAGACCTTGTTTATTATCTCACACTGAGTGCTTTCTTAAAGGGATATTTTACATGATTGAATATAAAATAATTGAGCTCTTAGGAGACTTCCTTCTAAAATATATTTGATTGCCACCAGTGGGCACCATTGTTTAGTCCTTGAGATGAATGGAATTTCTGTGTGTTTCCTTTGAGATCTGTAGGTAAGAACAATACATGAATGGCAGGATCCTTTTTCTTTTGGGGTTCAGTGTAAGGCTGCTATGGAATTGGAACCTTTACTCTAAATTAATGGAAAAATGGCAAGTTGAGCTTTTCTTGTAAAAATACATTTAAAATGTTCATTCAGTACACTCTTAGTATGAATTGAAATATAAAATGCCATGGTTACACTTTGACCACTTTTAAGTCATATTTTCTTTGATTAGGCAATGATATACTGTCTTAATCCTAGGGATACAAGTTGATGACTTCTTACCTAAAATAAATGGGAGCAGAGAAAAAGGTAGTGTAAAAAACTTAAATTCTTCCCCCTGTGATTTCCTTTTACTGTTTAAGCAGGATAGGTAGTCTAGGGTTTTAAGTATTTGGAATGAAATGCATGCTATTCACAGACCATTGAATTCCATCTTTCAAAATCAGGTTTCCTTTTATTCTGTAAGACATGTTACTGTATTATTTTCCTAGATATTCCTTGTTGTATGGAAATTTTAACTATTCAAATAATAGGAAAATGACGAAGTTCAACTGTATTACTGGTCCGTGTAGGCTCTTCCTAGTCCCTATTGTATTTTACAAAGAGGTATATTACCATTTTGTTCCATTGGGCTCTGCTTCTAGGAGATAATTGAGCACCTGCTGAGCATCCTCCCCTGCTCCCACCCTACCCCATGTTATCTGAAAAGCAGAGCGAGAAAGAGGAAGGTGCTGTGCGAGTTCTTTCCTAAGTGCCTGCGCCAGCCAGGGCTCAGTCAGACTGGAAACAGAAGCCTAGAATTCAGTCTGGATTTCTGACATGGGTGCCGTGGACCCAAGAACTTTAACTGTTACCTGATTCTCCCAGTGTGCACCTTACCGTAAAACTGGATTGGTAGTGGAGTAGTTAGGAATCTGATGTGGTATGTGGGCAGTTTAACTGCTGAATCAAACGCTTACCCCCGACCCCTATTTTTTTAATGTTCGAATTTATTTATCTATCCCTTGGATTGTTTTCTTTATCAGTCTTTCATTGATCAAAGAATGAAATCAGTCATTTCTGCCACCAGAAAAATCCTTTGTTACTTCTTAGTTCTGTCACCATTCTTTAAGCATAGTGTGAGCTCTCTGTTGTCAAAAACTGTAAGCTATTAGTTACTGCTTTGCCTACTATAACATGACGTACATTTTATCAAGTGGCCTTTAAAATGCTTCAGTTCTGAAGATGCCTGTTCTTCTACCCCTCCCCTTCCATCTAGCATTGCTCAAGCACCGGTAAGGAGGCAGATCCTGCACTACCTGCTTGCAGTGCAAAAGGAGCAATATCGTTCTGTGTTTACTCATCTATGTGCCTGTCATCTCACTTTTGATATAAACATTAAGTGGAAAATAACAAGATCCATGCCTAGAACTTCATATTCAGTACTTTTTTCCAGGCGTCAGGGATTATCATGGTAGTTCTTGGGCAGCAGTCAGTCAAGAGGTGGATTTTTATATTTTTTTTGTTTGATTCAGTTAACTTGTTTTTAATTAAGACTAGCAAAATAGGCTCAGGTAGATCTATATAGCAAAGTCAAGGCCTAATATCGCATATTTCATAAGTTTTGAAACTCAGGATAACACTTTCATCACTAATTGTTACTTGTTCTAAGTGTGATTTGTAAACTAAATTGATTTCTTAAAATTTCAACTTTAAATTTCAGAATTTTTAAAGGTGTAGTTTATATTCATTGCACAAAAATTACTAGTTGGTTGTCAAATATATACAGAAAACTTACATGAAATTATCTAATCATCTTCTGATAACTTGCTTAAATTTTTTTTATGTTTTCTGTCATTATTTTGCTTGTTTCTCTCTTTCTGACATATGTACTTTTTAATCAAATCCATCACCCTCCAGGTGTTGAGGATGTGTTTACAGAGTTGGAAAATTATTGCTTAAAATTTAACTGATTCAGAATAGTAGATTATTTTCATACTGTAATAGTTATAAATAGATACCTTGATTTAAAACTAAAGTTATTTTATGGGCCCGGCGCGGTGGCGCAAGTGGTTAAGGTCCTCACCTAGCACGCCCGGGATCCCATATGGGCGCCGGTTCTAATCCCGGCAGCCCAGCTTCCCTTCCAGCTCCCTGCCTGTGGCCTGGGAAAGCAGTCGAGGACGGCCCAAAGCTTTGGGAACCTGCACCCGCGTGGGAGACCCGGAAGAGGCTCCTGGCTTCGGATCGGCATAGTATCGGCCCGTTGCGCTCACTTGGGGAGTGAATCATCGGACGGAAGATCTTCCTCTCTGTCTCTCCTCTCTGTATATCTGCCTTTCCAATGAAAAAATAATAAAAATAAATCTTTAAAAAAAAAAACTAAAGTTATTTTAAATACTAAAAGGTAAACCATACTATAATTATTATTTCCTTGGTGTATAGGAATTTGGGTCGGGGGTGATAAATTGGGTAACTTGAGACAGATTAACAATATTTTAGAGTAACTAAGCAGTAAATTTCTGTATATACTCAAATTGTGTTTTACCAGATTTAGTTATGAAATAGACTTTGGATTAAGATGGGGCCCCTTTTCCACTCTGAATTGCTTATAATATAGGAACATGCCAATTACAAAGTATTCTAATATTGCCAGAGTCCTGATTTTAATGAAAGTTACTATTTAAATAATAAAGTAATACATCTTCCAATGAGCTCCCTTTTTAAAATTATTTAAATATACTTTGCTGAAAGCACAGATTTTGTGTTGTAACGTTTGTATCTTATTTAATAAGTATTATAGCTTAGAAAATTTAGAATATTAACGCCTTATGAAAATATGAGCTACATGTATAATTAATTTTTTTGGTTTAAATAGTTAACCTAATTAGGCAGAACAAATTTTATTGATATGCTTAATTCACAGTATCCAAAATGTTGCATTTCAACATGTAATCAGCATTAGAGGATTATTAATGAACTATTTTGCTTCTTTTTACTATATTTGAAATCATGGTGTGTATGTTTTGTACTTACAGCACACCTCAGTCTGAACTAGTTGTATTTGTAGAACTCAACAACCACATGTGACTAATGGCTATAGTGTTGGACAGTGTGGGTGTAAGAAATCAGAATGTATAGGAAACTCATGCATAAATTGAAACTCAATTTAATAGTATTTCTCTAAGTTACATTTCTCTATCTTTATTTATAAGCAACCCTTTTCCCTTCAGTAAATATAATTTCTTTGAGATTGTTTTATCAATTTTTTTTAGTTTGGGGAAAATTAATTCCCAAAGATCGGAATTCAAGTGATATTATCATGATTCAAATCTTTTATATATATGTAATCTGTAAGAGCTTTCTCTGATACATATAGGCAATTTCTTTGTAGAAGTTGTAAACATATATGTGTGTATACTTGATCTTAAATTTTATCTAAAACAGTATAGTAAGTATTTTAATGAAGTCTAGGTTTTAAAATCCAAGTAGACAAAAGTGACTTTTAGCTTTGTCAGTTAATGGTGGAGTTTTCTGCTTTAATAGGTGTTGTGCAGCGTTTGTTGATTTTACTCTGAAATTTGATTTCAAATAGATTCTATGAATTCCTTTAGTTGGCTTCTGATGTAGTATAGTTTGAAAGTATCATGTAGCTTAGCAATGATGTAGAACAACTTTTCTCTTGGTTGTTACTACCCTCCTGAGGTGTGCTGTTTTGATCTTCTTGGCTCCAAGTAGCAAATTTTCTTTATGAAATAGTTATAAACTTTAGGATTCTTTTACACCCAACATTGGGTTTTTTTAAGGGCTATATTTTATCCCTATAACATCTCAAATATGTAATGCAGTGATCATTCCAAAACGTGAGTTATATGAACCTTTTATTTCCCTGTTACTGATGATGACTGTGGACTGGAGGCTCTGCACGCCTTGTAACTAGTTGAAGGATGATGACAGATTTAGTAGGGGCAGAGAAGGCAGCTAAGAGAAGTGACTTACTGTCAGAATAGGAGGTGTCTGCTTCTGCTGCAGAGTTGATCAAGGGATGTGGAAGGTTGAGATAAGGAGAGCAGAGGTTTTCCTGTGAGAGTGATACGAACTCATGTCCATTTTTGACAGGTTTTAGTGTTTTAACACCTTTCAGATTGTCAACATGTTGGGATTTATCTTTAACACTCAAACTTCCCAATCTATTTAGTATTTTTGAAAAAAGACACAAATATGTCATTGAAAGATATTATCCAAATTCAGTAGTTATTTGCATCAGAGTAATAAATTTAACTTTAATAAAAGGGCTAAAACTTATTAGAAGTACTGTGGTTCGGTTTAGTTCTCTCTATTCATTAAAAAAAAAGAAAACAACTCAGTTTTATCTGAACAAAAGCCGTTGGCCAAGCTCTTAATTTAAAGTGCACAGACAGTGGTTATAATCATTTGAACAAAGTTCAACAGTGTAACTTTTTGACAATATATGAATTAAAGATTAAATGACTCAAAAGGGAAGACTGTGTGAAATGATAAATATAGAATTTTTTATGTTTCTTCAATTTCAAAGAATTATTTGATGGTATTTTTAACATATTTACCTTTTATCTCCTGACTGATATGAATATTTAGCTTCTAAGAGGGGCTGTTAGAAAATAGAAATTAAATGTTAATGTAGTAATAAAATACAAAATTTTTAACATTATTTAAAGGTATTTGTTAAGTTCTCATGGAGAAACATTTTTGAAAATGGGAGAAGGTTTTTAAAGCAATATGTGCATTTTTTTCTATCTCTTTGGATAAAAACTGCACCTTTAAAAGCTAACCATTTGGGGTACAAATTAATGATTATTAAACTATCATTTTCAGTCCTTTATCTTCAACTGAAAAATATGTATTAAAATCTATTCAAATTTTATCCAGAATTAGCTATGTTTATACATTTCCGTTTTTCTCTTTGCTGTTGGTTTTCAAAGACCAACAATATCGTATCCTTAAAGGTGTTTCTTTCTTTATTAGAGCACTTGCTTTCAAAGAGTGGCGGGGACTGCACTTTTATTCATCAATTCATAGAATGCCAGAGTGAGTACAGAGTATTTTTCACATTGGTTTTAATGCAGTCAGGCTAAATGAGAAACTCCATGTGTTTATTTTACTAGACATGCACAAAGGGCCATCTTCAGACAATAGCCGGCCTTTTCATAGTGTCAGTATTTCTCTCTTTTGAGAAAAATATTCCTGTTGCATTTTGCCTTCATAGATGGAACAGAACATTTCAGATTAGTCTCTCTCTTTCTCTCTCTCACAAACACACACACACACACACGCACACACACGCACACACACGTGTGTGTGCGCGCGCAAGGAAGTTTCAGGCTTGTTAATTAAGAATCATTACTGGGCCCAGCACAGTAGCCTAACAGGTTAAGTCTTCACCTTGCATGCGCCAGGATCCCATATGATCACCGGTTCTAATCCCGGCTGTTCCACTTCCCATCCAGCTCCCTGCTCGTGGCCAGGGAAAGCAGTTGAGGACGGCCCAAAGCCTTGGGACCTGCACCCACGTGGGACACGTGGAAGAAGCCCCTGGCTTCGGCTCTGGATGTTATGGCCACTTGGGTAGTGAACCAACAAACAGCAGATCCTTCTCCGTCTCTCCTTCTCTCTGTAATTCTGACTTTTCAATTTAAAAATCTTAAAAAAAAAAATCATTACTGAGCAGTTTTAAATGTTAAGTGTCTAAGCTTCCTGTGGATGCTTAATAAAGAGTAAAATTAAGCTGTTTATTTGAATTTTAGTTTTATCAACTATTTAAATTTTGAGGTTCTTAAATACATAGATTAACTGAGGCCACCAAAATAATTAGTTGGTGCACCCTTCCGAAGATGGCCCTCAGGGTCACAGGAACTTGCTGTTTCTGGGAAAGACGTTAGAGGAGATTGTCCTACATCTTAGAGCAAGACTGTCTTTAAGATGATTTTAAAGAAAAGTAGTCTTTTGAGGCAGTTTAGACAGCCATGCTAATCCTGAACAAAAATATTATGGTCCATTGTTGAAAATCATGTAAATGTTTACATTATAGTGCTCCTGAGGTTGTTGTAATTTCTTCATCTTCTTAGTAAGAAGTGAAGACCACTCTAGTTAGTAAAAATCCTTTGCTGACATCCGTTCTTTTTCTGATTAGGCAAATACTTTCTGAGGCATTTCCCTTTTTCTTGTCTTGCTCACCACGTTCCTCCTCACACACTTCCCTCCCCGGCTCGGAACGAGGGATCTCACACATTCCTGAATGTCTGATCTGATCTGGGGGGGTGTGCGTGCCTGTGTGGTGTCCCCATCTGTGGTGCACAGGGAAGGGTCACACCTGCTGATTACAGCAGGCAGAAGGTCAGTAGATCAATATTATATTCCATAGAGATCCTTCTGGAGAATAGCTTTAGGGGAGCTTCTGATTTACCAACTTTAGATGCTATAACATATCTAATATTATACGCTATAATATTAGATATATTAGTATTATTTTGAAGCGATTTATTTCATTGTCTTGTTCACAACTTTGCCTGTTTATTTACTTGAAAGGCAGAGTAAACAGAGACAGATCTTGCATCTACTGGTTCACTCCCCTCATACCCACAGCAGCCAGGGATAAGCCAAGTCAGAATCAGGAAGGCCATCGGGGTCTCCCATGCGAATGGCAGGAGCCCTCATATCTGGGCCAGCATTCGCTTGCTTCCCAGACACGTTAGCAAGGAAGTGACTGGGAAGCAGTAGTTGAAACTGAAACTGGGTCCGGCGTGGTGGCCTAGTGGCTAATGTCCTTGCCTTGCACACGCTGGGATGCCATTTGGGCACCGGTTCTAATCCCAGCAGCCCTGTTTCCCATCCAGCTCCCTGCTTGTGTCCTGGGAAAACAGTCGAGGATGGCCCAAAGTGTTGGGACCCTGCACCCGTGTGGGAGACCTGGAGGAAGTTCCCTGCTCCTGGCTTCGGATCGGTGCAGCACCGGCCATTGCGGTCACTTGGAGAGTGAATCATTGGATGGAAGATCTTCTTCTCTATCTCTCCTCCTCTCTGTATATCTGCCTTTACAATAAAAATGAATAGGTATTAAAAAAAAAAACCACAATATTCCCAAAGCAAAGGTCAGTGCATCTTTTTGTTGTCTCTAGTTAAAGTAACTTTTAAAACTTTATGAATTAATACAGCTACTTGGGGTAAGATAATTAGTATCCACTTCGGAAAAAAATTTATACTTTATTACATGTGATCATTCTTTGATAAGTTAATTTTGTTTTGAAAGTTGGATTTTATATTTTGAACCCAAAGAAATGTGAACATAAAATTATCAAAAAACAGAAAGTGTTTTAATCTGTTGTAGTTTATAAAAATGCTTTATGGGCCTGGTGCAGTAGCCTAGTGGCTACGTCCTCACCTTGCAACCACTGGGGTCTCATATGGGCTCTGATTCATATTGTAGCTGCTCCACTTCCCATTCAGCTGCTTGCTTGTGAACTGGGAAAGCAATAGAGGATGGGCCGAAGCCTTGAGACCTTGTACCCACCTGGTAGACTCTGGAGGAGGCGCCTGACTCCTGGCTTCTGATTGGCTCAGCTGCAGCCATTGCAGCCACTTGGGGAGTGAACCAGTGGACCAAAAATATCTGTCTCTCCTTCCTTCTGTCAATCTGCCTTTCCAATAAAAAAAAAATCTTTTAAAAATGAAAATTAAAAATTATTTCACTTTTAATTGTTAATTATTAATGTGTAATTTATCATGGACAATTTTATTTAAAATCATTTTTAAATATTTATAATTGTAACACAGGACAATTTTTTGAACATAAAGTTGATTAGAGATTTTCACTGCATTGTAATTATGGAGGAAAAATGGTTCAAATAGACATTCAGAATTAGCAAAGAAGTTTTGTGAATTACAGCAAATTTCCTCAGTGGTAATATTAGACAACTTGTAAAGTGATATTTATGAGGATTATGTAATATCTTAGGAAATATTAAGCTTGTGGTACATAGAAGGAAAAATTAGAATATAAAATCCCATTCAGGGGTCAGCATTTTGGCACAGCTGGTTAAGCCAGCATCCTGTATGAGCAATGATTCAAGTCCCAGTTGTTCCACTTCTGTTCCTGCTCTCTGCTAAGCCACCTGTTAATACAATGGAAGATAGCCCAGGCACATCATCCTTCTCACCTGTGTGGGTGATCCAGGTGGAGTCCTGGCCCCCTGGTATTAGCCTGGCCCAGACTTGGCCATTGGGCCATCTGGAAAGTGAACCTGCTGAAGGAAAGTTGATCAATAGATCTATCTCTCTGTGTATCTTTTCTGCTTCTCCCTCTGTCTTTAACTCTGCCTTGCAAGTAAAGCAAAATGAAATAAATCTCACTCTTTGTACATATGGCTGACCAAAGAACAACAAAAATACAAATATTCTTGAACCTCTGAAGCCCCTGGGTCGTTGAGTACAATGACTACTAGTTTAGGCCTGTGTTTAGGATTTGTTTGGTTTCTAAGTTGCAAATAGCAAGGATTTGGTTATTAATGGTTCTAGCTGATTCCTTAAATTTGCATGGCCAGAATTAGAATAGGAAAGGTTACCTTAAATTCAGTTTGTTTTCAAAGAGACATTTCATTCTTCAATGACAAGATGCCATAATAGAAATTTTTAATTTTTTTTAAAGTATTATCGCAGGCAAGTCCAGCAAATCTCATAGTGTAGGAAATTTGTACTAACCACTTTTTAACCATTTGAGACTATTTACTGACAAGTACACACAAACTTTTTGCCATTTTCAGTAATAGGCATTTGAACTGATTTACGATCATGAAGAGTATATTCTCTATGCAGAGGTAGACCAGTTTTTGGAAAAGCAAACATTAAATACTTAGCCTTCATTGTTTACTGGTGCTTGTGCTTGCCTGGTATCAGTTCAACTTGTGCTTTATAAGTTAGAGAGCAAACAGTTTACTATCCATCTGATTCTTTGTACATGTCTTTTTAATATAATGATTTTTAATTTTTATATGTATGTATTTTATACAAATATATAAAAACATTTATGAATCCATGAGAGAATTATTTGGTTGTTGGCTCTCAGTTTCCATGGTGATTTTGTGGACAATAAGTGAAATGGAAAACATTTCAACTTGGTTTCCTTTTATGGTAATACAAACTATTTTAAATTATCGTTTCAGAGAATAGCTCTTAATCCCAGTCAGAGAGACTGGACTTCAAACAGATTATATTTAAATCTTTTGTGTAATTCCAGAACCACAAATTCAGTATTTTGTATATTAAAAACTTTTTTTTTTCAATAAAACTAAAAGTTTTTGCGGTATTTTCTTCTTCGGGGATTCGGGAGATGAGTTTGGTTTAGGCAGAACTTCACACTTTACAAACACTGCAGATTTTAATTACTTAATGTTTACTGTGTAAACTTAATGGATATAATGAGGTTTCTGTGTTTTGCCACCCAAGAAGCTTTCTGAGCTCGTGAAATCTGCATCTCTAAGTCTGTTTCATACATGGCCATGTGCTCTGTCATGTATATATCTTGTATACTGATGGGAAAGATGAAAAGTGCAACATGGAGAATCTAAACACATGGAGATCTGACCTCGCTGGGTGGGCATAGAGTGCGAAGCAGCCTTCCCTGGGCTGTTGCCTGCCCGTTTGATTTCACTTGCTACTGTGTGTCCTGGAAAGGGCAGTGGCATCACAGCCGGATGCCAGAACAAAGTTCCTCGGAGGTTACATTGTAGAGACTGTGTACTCCCTCAAGGGCATCTCCCTTCTGGTGGAGTTAACTGGCCTGAAGTGAACCTTATGTCATTATATTAATCCGCATTGACTGTGGGATTTAAGTGCTGTTGTTATTTCTAGACAAAAGTTTAATTCTTTTAATGTTTCATATCTTGTTGGATACTTCTTCTAAATTTCAAAAATGTGTCGTCCTGACTCTCATAAAACTCCAGTCAGTATCTGTGTGTGCTTTTTCTTATTTGCTTCTTTCTGTTAGGGTTTTGCTCTCACATAGAAATTGCCTTATTTGGGCCAAGTGTTGCTCC